TTTTTTTTTTTTTTTTTGAGTAGGAAGAGATTAAATATTGAATATTTAAGGTTCTATTAAATATGATTGTGGTTTTTGATTTTTTTGTTTTAATTTTTAAACATTTTGTCATTATTGAAAATCATAACTATGTTTAAAAATTAAAATTTAAAAATTTATTTAAGATAAATTTGTATTCTTATCTATCTAATAATAATCATAATAATATTTTGACAATCACACATGTAATTAGTACACAAACTTTTTATTTTAAGTTATAAAATATATAAAAATTAAAATTAAAAACCAAAACTCACAGTGATGCTCTAAAGTCAACGTGATTTCATTGTTTTATATATGTGCACATTTGAAATTTTAATTAATGAATTGGAAATTGGTTTGGATAAGCAGGAATATACTCGGTAAATGTGGACTATAGTCAGCAGAAGGTGACGGTGTGGGGAATATGCAACAAATATGACGTGCTGGAAACGATGAGGAGCAAGAGAAAAGAAGCTCGTTTTTGGAATCCAGAAGACAATGTTGAGATGGAAAAGCCAATGTCACCTCCTAAAGATCACTCCATTTTTAAGCCCTCTTTGGCCCTAATGAAGGCTCGATCATTTAGCTTGAAAGCATGGAAAAAGGTCTTTACCAGATCCAATTCATTCTAACACAGTAAAGAAGAAGAAATTTCATGCCTAGCTTCTGACTTTGTTAATAATAAGAAAGACTACATATACGTATGGAGGATTTTCAATTTTCATGTCTCTTGTAAATATTGGGTACTTAATTTGTACTAGCTTTCGGCTATTTGACTCGTTGTAATGAAAAATTGAAATTGCAGTCTCTATTTTCCTTTTAGTCCATTCCAAGTTGTGTTGAGATAGGTGTCTGCATGAAAATTTAACATGCGACAGAAATATAAAGTTTGTATCTAATTTAAAATTAAATGATAATAGATAAAATAATTTGTTTTATATTTAAATAACATATTTCTGTAAACAAATGTTATCTTGTAAGTTAGATTTAAGATTTAACTTTCAAAATTAGAATTTAAGAAAATTAATTTTTTTTAAATGTACTAGGTCAATATGAGCGATTTACTCTTAAAATTGATTGTGAGATATGCAAGGCTTCTTATCATATAACATGTGGCAAAATTGCCAACCGCATTTGTAGCCCAATGATAAAGACTCAGTGGTGTGGCACCTAAATCCCAGCTTTGAACATGACTACTAACATTAATCTCCCACCCCTTAATATGCAAATATGTAATTGTAATGTAGTTATCTTGTTAAAAAAAAAATTCGGCAAAATTTATCCCTCGTAATATCTTATCTTAAAGAATTAAAAAATCAATCCCACTTAATTGCTCAAAAATGCCCAATAGCCATGTATTCAAAGCCCAAAGTAAATGGACCAAACCATAGGCCCTCTTCAGTTTTTCAGTTCACACTTCACAGCCCTTACTCCTTCCCATCCCCTCATGATTCATCCATGACGCACGTTCCAGCTAATGTTCTCTTCATCCAAATTTTTCTCTTTTTTTTTTAATAACAAAAATTAAATAATTTTATAAGAGAGTACCAGGGGTACTCCTTATTGTACAGATTTTTCATGATTTGGGTCCAAAACCGTTCAGGTCCTCGGGCGGATGGCTCAAAGTTGCTGGTTTCAAAGAATTGATTTTTTTTTTCTTTTTTTATGAGAAGGCAAGTGACTTTTCCTTGAAACTTTGCTCCATAAATGGGAATACAACTACACTGGGAATACCCAGGAATACAGTCTCTTGTTTCTCTTGACTGTCAATTAGTAATCTAATATGATGAGTAATGATAGTCACAATACACTCAATACTCTCATTATCCCCTACAAATATTCTCTTGTTTCGTTTCTGCCACAAGGTGTAAATGGTTGCAACCCAAGCCACCTTCAATCAGTTAGCCCACTTACTTCGCCCTCCAACACAAAATTGTACTCGCCGCCATTCATCTCGCCACTGCATAGACACATGATTAATTCTACACAACAGTAATACTGTACTCCACACTTTGCAAAAAGCACATGAGAAGAAAAGATGTTCAATATCCTCATACCCACTGTTGCATAAAATACAAGATGTATCAATAGACAATCCTCTTTGTTGTACTAGTAACCATGGGTGCTAAGTCTTCCCATTATTGTCAACCATATTATAAACCCATGCCTTGGAATAACTACTTTACTCCAAATAATTTTGTGCCACTTGGCTCTGTCTCTTTATAACTCAGCATCTCATAACAGCTAACCACAGAAAACTCACCAAGACTTCCATGCTTCCAAATAGCAACATCAGGCTTTCCATCACATATCATACTTCTGATCTGCAACACTAAATTAGGGTGGCTTCTAACAAAACTCTTTGGAATTTCCTAACCACAAGGACCTTTCAAATTAGCAACTAGCAATCAAGCCCCCCCAAGCATCAACACGAACACCTAGATCAACAAGCGAGGTTTCACCACACCAGATATCATAGAACAGAGAGGTTTGTTTGCCATCCCCAACTGTCATATGAATAAACCTTCTTACATTACACCTCAATGGTAGAATTTTCCTCCAACACCATGATGCATCCGTTGATATTGCTGCAAACCATATAGACCCGCCCCTTAACTTGGTAGAAGCCCATTGCACCCAGTTATTAGTCTTGCTAGCACATAAGTTCCATAAATGTTTACACATAATAGCATGATTCCAAGTCTTGAATTGTTTGACCCCTAAACCACCCTAAGACCTTAGCAAACAGACTCTTTCCCATGTAATCATTGGCATACCAATACTATTCCATGTACCAGACCATAGGAAATTCCTACACATATCTTCTAACATCTTTATATCCTTCCCTGGAAGTATAAAACACCAGACCAATCCATTTGAATATGAAATAGCACTGAATTGATCAATTGGACTCTCCCAGCAAAAGATAAGAATTTATTCAATCAAGGTCGCATTTCTTATATTTATTTTATTTGATTACCTATATCTAACAACATTTTGTTTAATTCCTTTTAAACTACAAAAACATCCCGACAAGTTGGGTAGTGGGTTCGATATGCTAATTTGAAAATAATGGTTGTCACGCCTCAACCCATAGGCAACATTTCTAGGTGGGATTGGGTTAGAAAAGATAATAAAAGTCTTATCTCATGTTTAACATTTTATTGGATTAAAAATAAAATTTATCCCATAATTTGGCAAAGGGTAAAATTATATGGAATAATCTTTACAATTTATATATGAACAAAAATACCATAGTTGAAAATATTTGAAAATTTTCAAAGTCTTTAGGATTTCCCAACATGAAAAATATTTGAAATATTTCAATAATTACTAAAATTTATTTACATGAAACAGAAAATTTGTAAATCTAACAAATATGTTAATTTATCAAAATAATTTATTAAAATTTTATTAAATAAACACTTTATAATTAATTTTAAAAAAAACTACCTAAAATTAATTTGAAAAATAAAATAAAAAAAATATAAAAAATTAATAATGAGATTGATATACTAAAATTATGAAAACAATTAATATAAAATTTCACAAGGTAATTTTTTGAATCACTTGCAGCATGGATGCTTGGATTGAAATAAGTAGTTAAACCTTTGGCTAAAGAACAAGGCATACCATGCAAACTGTCCACAAATAAGAATGAGTAAATGAAGGTTTCTCTTCAACTATAAATATTAAAATAAAGCATCAAAGCGAAAGATATATTTCTATTTTCTTGATATTTATTTATATAAAAGCATAAAGTACTAAAAATTCTAAGTCATGGTTAGTTGTACTTTATTTTATCACTTAATATAAATAAACAAGGACAATAATTCTGCCTATAATAGTAAAAAATTACATTAAAACGTTGTGAATGCTAATGTTCCTAAGCCGACCTAAGGAATTTGTTTTTCCTATAAATGAAAATGCAAATAGTTAACTCAAGAAAAGCAACTGAATATGAGAAAATTAACAATATAAGATAAGTAAAAAAAAAAAAAAAAAACCCATAACTAGTTAGAAATCACACCATTTAACAATTCCAATACTTGAATTAATAAAACAAATGATTGTAAGAGGAAAACAAGAGTGTTGAATAGATGAATATTCATTTAAGTAAGGAAAATCAAACATTATTAATATAATAATGAATACAAAGGACAAATACAGCAAAAATTTCGGTAGATTATCACAACGAGGAAAATATAATGTAAAAGGTCAATATGAAGTAAGAAAGGGAACTTAAAAGCAAAATAGTTAATGACATACAAGCAACACAGCATGAAGATTGAATAAAAGCAGAACACTAAGTTTTTGACAAAAGTTTGCCATCAGTTTTAAGAACTAATTTTCCATGTAAATTTGAGGCAGGGCCGGGATAACTACAACGAGGCATTACATCTAGATAGCCATTAGGTCTATAAACCATCAACAACTAAATTGCAATAAACCATCAACAGCAACCAGGTCTAATTATTTCATGAAAGTAATTGAAGTAGAACATCCATAAGTAATAAAGGTATCTGAAAACAAAACTTCTAGTATAAACAAACCATTCTCCATATAGATTACATTAATATATATCCTTTTGTTATTTATTTCTATAGTGAAAAAATATATAAAATAAGTATTATTTCAAGTGACAATTGATGGACCAATTCATCCTTTGTAGTTAACGAAGAAACACCAAAGAAAAGTTAATTTGAGATTTACCAAACGATTGATGTAAACCTTGATGGAGTGCAACAGCCAAGGCAATGGCCGATGAGTGGAGAGGCGGTTGGCCAATCACAATGAGAGGGAGGTAAAAGGGGCAAAAGAGTGATTTTATTTTAAATTTGGAAAAAATTAAATTTCATCCCCTTGTAACCCATTGGGGAGATTAGATAAAATTTGTCTTCAGATTAGGATGGGACAAAACGTAAGATATTATTCGATCCATTGCCTTCTCTAAACATTGATTGTTACACATCTAAATTAATTTTTATCTAATCTAATGCTTAGTCAAGGGTTCCAAACCAACCCGTAAGTTGACAAAGATCACACATCTATAAAGTTAAATTATTTATTATATGTAAAGCTCTATAGAATATCCAAACTTAAATTGCACCAATATTAAATCAATCTCAATAATAAATCTCAATAATAAATCTCAAATAATCTCCAAATAACAAGCTCCAACTCAATTAATCAATAATATAAAGTGAATAGCAGTCATGTCCGTAGAACTAAATAATCTGCAATTCGGGCTACATTTAAATTCTTGCCAATTTAGTCTAACAACATCACAATCCCATGCAATCCCAATGTTCATTCTTTATTACTTGAAATGAGACAAAATTTCAAAAACATGAGTTAAAGAACTTAGTAAATAGTATACTCATTCAACACAACCAACCATGTTATTTCTTAAACTTAATTTTTTTTTAAATAAATGATAAAATCACATTTCTTTTCTCAAAATCAAAATATTTAATTAGTCTTTTATGGCTGTATAACAATCCACAATCTACAATTTATGATACCCAATCAACAATTAATAATCCACTATACACAATTTATTATACACAATTCACATTTCAAAATTTTCGATGCACAATCTATAAATCTTGGCTCTATCACAATACCATCAGCTCAACCCTGATAAGAATTAATTATACAACTAGAACAAAGCATAAATCATATCAAATCTTATAAACTATTTCATAAATAAGAATAATTAACAATTAATAATAGTCACTTTCAAAAAAAAAAAAAAAAAGGTTACTTTCCACATAATCCCAATCTCATTTTAAAACATTAGCTAAAATTAATATACTTTACTTACAATTCATCTCATTTCATGATAAAACTAATTTAAACAAATTTTATTCGAGAAAGAGTTAAAATCTACTCAAAACTCATTTAGATAAGCAACTTTGTTTTAAAAGCAGCGAAGGATATAGCTACTTACCTCCATAGGTTAACCAAACGCTCTGCCAACATTCACCTACTTCCTATGATGAAACAAACACAAACTAATCACTAACCAAAGCTGTACCTTAAACTAACTCAAGTAAACTAAATAATAATCATAATAATAATAATAATCATACTCATTCCAACTGTTAATCCTTGAGCCTGTAAGATACTTCCTAATGAACACACCTAATAAAAGCTTATTTGACCCATTGTTATTTAATTCCTCAAATAAAAAAACAAAAAGGAGTTGTTTCATGGTTTCCCTAAATTCCTTTCAGCACAGAATTTCCTCGCTTGCCACCCCTAGCACATTAAGCTCACCTATACCTCAAGAAATTAATTAATTTACAACATCAACTACCCATGCTAACATACATGCACAGTAACCATTTTATTTGCTTAAACTTGATTTCCTTAATCACTAGGTACTGTATCTCATGAATCAACAACACCAAGATTTTCTTTTTTCCTTTGCTTAAACTTGGTTTCTTTTCTCTTTGCCTCAATCTTAGTTTCTTTCCTCTCATTGATTCCTTTTCCTTTAATTCCTTGTCCTCTAATTCCTTTTCCTCAGTCTTAGTCTTTCATTTTTCTTACCTGTTGTCTTTAATCCCTAGATTCCCAAATAACAAATCCCTAAAAATCAAAATCAAAAAACCTAAAAATATAAATAAAAAACCAAAGTATTCTTTCTGATTTGTTTCTTTTTGATATTAAGCTACCATGGTTGCTTTCATCTTGGTTTGTGGGTCTGATCCAGAAAAGGAGGAGCTAAACTCATCTACTGCAACGCTTAAAGAATCGACGAATGGATTATGTTCTATTGGGCAGATAGAGGAGAAAATCAGTGATTAGGCCATGGTGTTTGGAGTGTTAGTAGAGGCTCGGGTTTGCCTGAGGACTATCCAGGGAAGTTGGATGATGGAGCAAAAGCACTGTATCGGATGGCCACAAAATCATCATAGAGTTGATCTAGAGGTGAGAACAAAGCCCACTTGATGAGGGAGCTAAGGACCTGATGGGGTTGGAGTCACCAAGCTCAGAATTAGTGGATGAAATAACTCATTTGGTATTTCCTCCCTCAGTAGTCAATTAACTAGTATATCCAACACAAAAGTTTTTCTTCTTTAGGCCAAGGAAATCTTTCCTTCTCTACGACGGAGTATGTCATCATTGCAAAATCTTTACTTCATTAGCTCCTATTGGCTTAGTGTAGTCTGGCATGGTAATAAATCTTGAATCGTAGACTGATTAGGAGTAGGTTTTTTTCATAATTAATGAACCTTTCCAAAAATAAACACCATAAATTGATTAGGAGTTGGTTTTTTCATAGTATATAAGTACTCCTAGAACCATAGTAATCTTAGACATTATCCATTATTGCAATAGACAGACTACATTGTGGCTAGCAATAATAATGGTGAGACACAAGCTGCATCGTTTTTAGTCTCAGCTTCCTCTTGTGTTTTTTGTTCATTCTGTTAGCTTTTCTTTTCTTTTCTTTTTTTATAAGGTTTCTTCATTCCGTTTAGTTTCTCACAAACTGGCTCTGGTACATAAACATGCGTGTTGTTGTACACTAATATATAGGTTTTAATTTGTTCGTGCATGTATTTTGATCTTTCAGTACTTTCAAAACTTCTATAGCTCGTCTATTGTTGCAAATCTTTTTCTCATGCAGAGACATTGTTAGAAACTAAGAGTTGTTTTAATTTCTAAGTATATGCTAGTTCTTTTTTACATGGATGATGGAATGTCTGATATCTAATTAATTAATTAGGTCTTTTAGATTACAAGTAATTTAGGATGTTGTCTTTTTTTTTTTTTTTTATCAGCATTTAGGATGTTGTCTTTAGTTAGCTTTTGTTGTGTTTATGTTTATCCTACAGGGAGCATTCTTCTTCATTCTGTTGATTCTCTGCGTTTTGTCTTCAACCCAATACATTGGCCATGCACAGGGGCAACAATTTAATGTTACTGATTTTGGTGCTGTCGGTGACGGAAAAGCTGATGATTCTCAGGTAATGACTAATTTTAATATTCTCTACTTTTATTTATATATCTATATATAAATTTGCTTACCCATAAAAAAATTTATCCATGTTTTTTTAGGCCTTCTTAAGTGCATGGAATGAATCATGTGAGACCAATGGAAAGTCCATGCCGACCATGCAAGTACCAGCAGGAAAGACTTTCTTGGTTAAGCAAGTCAAATTTGCTGGCCCATGCAAATCTTCAAGCGTTCAAATCCAGGGTATTACTTAATAAATTTATATAATTAGGCTTACCTTGTGAGTTTGTACTTGGATTATTTTCACTTTAATCTTCAAATTATTTTTGAGCCTTTCTTTTATCTCTTACTTTCAAAATTAAAAGTAATTTAATTTTTTGGGCACATAATTTCATTTTATTTTTTGTTTTTACAGATAATCAGAAGTATTGTTGCGCCAGCTAACATCGAGTGGATGGACTGTAAGTCTCGGTGCTGGTTTTGCTTTTACGATGTTGAAAGCCTTACTTTAACTGGTTCTGGCACCTTTGACGGAAACGGCTGGAAGATTCCCGAAGTAATATTTATATTTTTTTTCTTTTATAATACATTAACAACTCGTCACACAATTATATTTACATTTTTATATTGGTCTTTAATATAAAATCTCTATTTTTTTAGGTAGCGATGGACAATTGTGCAAAATCTGCTGTGAGTGTTATTCTTAACTAAATTTAATTATGTGTATAATAGTATATAATATTTTTTAAAATTTTTATTTAATTAATTCTTTAATTATTACAGGTCTTGCGATTTACAAGCTGTAACAATCTTCAAGTGAGTGGACTTACAAGTCACAACTGTTTATTAAAGCATATTGCTATATCTAGGGGTAACGGAATATCTATAAATAATTAGAAATACCAATAAAACTCTTTTGTAAAAGCTATTCACCCTACTTCCCTAGGAGTGTCTTTTTTTTTTTTTT